AGAGAGAGAGAGAGGGAGGGAGGGAGGGAGGGAGGAAGGAAGGAAGAAAGAAGATAAAATGAAATAAAATAAAGTAAAATAAAATAATTAAAATAAAAAATAATTATTAAGAAAAAAAAATTTTAAGTAAAAACCAGACAGACAGAACCCTAGGACAAATGGTAAAAGCAAAGCTATATAGAAAAAATCAGACACAGAAGCATACACATACACACTCACAAAGAGAAAAAGGGGAAAAATATATATATCTTTGCTCCCAAAGTCTACCTCCTCAATTTGGGATGATTCGTTGTCTATTCAGGTATTCCACAGATGCAGGGTACATCACGTTGATTGTGGAGATTTAATCCGCTGCTCCTGAGGCTGCTGGGAGAGATTTCCCTTTCTCTTTTTTGGTCACATAGCTCCCAGGGGTTCAGCTTTGGATTTGGACCCGCCTCTGCATGTAGGTCGCCAGAGGTTGTCTGTTCTTCGCTCAGACAAGACGGGGTTAAAGGAGCAGCTGATTCGGGGGCTCTGGCTCACTCAGGCCGGGGGGGAGGGAGGGGCACAGAGTGTGGGGTGAGCCTGCGGCGGCAGAGGCCGGCGTGACGTTGCAGCAGCCTGAGGCGCGCCCTGTGTTCTCCCGGGGAAGTTGTCCCTGGATCACGGGACCCTGGCAGTGGCGGGCTGCACAGGCTCCCATGAGGGGAGGTGTGGATAGTGACCTGTACTCGCACACAGGCTTCTTGGTGGCGGCAGCAGCAGCCTTAGCGTTTCATGGCTGTCTCTGCTGTCCACGGTGATAGCCGCGGCTCGCACCCGTCTCTGGAGCTCGTTTAGGCGGTGCTCTGAATCCCCTCTCCTCGCTCATCCCGAAACAATGGTCTCTTGCCTCTTCGGAAGCTCGACTTTTTCCCGGACTCCCTCCCGGCTAGCCGTGGTGCACTAGTCCCTTCAGGCTGTGTTCACGCTGCCAACCCCAGTCCTCTCCCTGCAATCCGACCTCCGAAGCCCGAGCCTCAGCTCCCAGCCCCGCCCGCCCCGGCGGGTGAGCAGACAAGCCTTTCAGCTGGTGAGTGCCGGTCGGCAACGATCCCCCGTGCGGGAATCTCTCCGCTTTGCCCTCCGCACGCCTGTTGCTGTGCTTTCCTCCGCGGCTCCGAAGCTCCCCCCTCCGCCTCCTGCAGTCTCCGCCCACGAAGGGGCTTCCTAGTGTGTGGAAACCTTTCCTCTTTCACAGCTCCCTCCCACTGGTGCAGGTCCCGTCGCTATTCTTTTGTCTCTGTTTTGGTTTTTCTTTTGCCCTACCCAGGTACGTGGGGAGTTTCTTGCCTTTTGGGAGGTCTGAGGTCTTCTGCCAGCGTTCAGTAGGTGTTCTGTAGGAGTTGTTCCACATGTAGATGCATTTCTGATGTATTTGTGGAGAGGAAGGTGATTTCCATGTCTTACTCTTCCGCCATCTTGAAATTCCTCTATAATTTATTCTTTATTTCATAAATTCTCTGTAAGTTTTTGCTTCCTCTTTGCTGATAGCTTCTGCTTTTTCTCTTCCCATTCATATTCTTGAATGAGTTTCTTTTGCAGAGTCATGTCTTTCTGCTGAGAAAATTCACTTAGAATTTCTGCTGCACAGACCTGGCCAAATTCAGTGAATAAGAGTCAGGTTCCACCTTCTATATTTGTTCTTATAGCTCATCCCTGACTGACACTTCATCACTCAGTTTGGAATAGAAATGAGCACTATCTTTCTCTTTTACTTTCTTTTTTTTAAAAATAGATCTTTATTGGAGTATAATTGCTTCACAATACTGTGTTAGTTTCTGTTGTACAGCAAAGTGAATCAGCCACATGCATACATATGTCCCCACATCCCCTCCCTCCCATCCTCCCTATCCCACCCCTCTAGGTCATCACAAAGCACTGAGTTGCTCTCCCTGTGCTATGCTGCTGCTTCCCACTAGCTATTTTACATTCGGTAGTGTATATATGTCGATGCTACTCTCACTTCACCCCAGCTTCCCCCTCCCACCCTGTTTCCTCAAGTCCATTCTCTATGTCTACATCTTTATTCCTACCCTGCAACTAGGTTCATCAGTACCATTTTTTTTTTGATTCCATATATATGCAACTTCTTTGCTTCTTCAGAGCAGATATACATCTTATACATGACCTATAGTCCCTACTGTGCAGACCACAGACATCATAAGTATCTAGTTGTTGCTAAACACTACTTAAAGTAATTTTGTAATATAAAAAAATCTGATTCCTAATCCAAAGGACATCGTATATTATATATCAGAATTTGTCAATATATATCTGTGTCTGTGTATGTTTGAGCATGTGTATAAATGTATATTTTTCATACCTATTAGGATTCCACTGGGTTTATTTACCTATTTATATGATTCTCCTCCTGCTCTCAGTCTGGCCAAGGATAACTTGAGTGTGATGAAAATCTCTCTTTATTTCAGAACACAGAAAGAAACCTGAAATTTCGAATGACAATTTTGGATTCTGCTACAAAGCCACTTCTCCTAATATTTTCAATTGATTTTATTGCTTGATTGTTTTTAACCTCTTACAAAACACAGATGGCCAGACTTACTCTGTGTAAGGGCTTGCAGGAAAACTAGCCTGGCCCACTGATGTTTTTATTTCTCGTGATAGTGTTTCCATATGGAAGTTGGTAGCTCAGGATCACTTTAAGAGTCAACTGGGTGCCAAGGCCTGTGCCTTGAACTTTCTAGAGTTTAGAAGTCATCAGTCCAACTTTGCAACTCATTCTTCAAAACCAAGCAGTTCTGTATTTTCCTTGGCCTCTTTCTCCCAGCAAATATTTTAAGACCTCAATTCTCACTGTGGGCTAATTATTCTCTTCTATTTGCTGGGATCATAATTCAGCGGGAGCTATTCCTAACCAAGGAAATGAGGGCAGGAATTACATAGTTGAGAATAATGGCTTGAAAACCATGAACGTCTAGAAACTTGTGCAAGTCTGACACATACTGGCTTGGTGGTCTTCGTAGGGAACTCACTGAAAAAAACGGTTATTTCTTCACTTTTAAAATGAGATCACCGTAAAGAGTAAACATTTATTGAATGACAATAATGAGCTAGCCCCTTAGAAAAATGAGTCCAATACTTACTACCTAAACACTTTCCAATTAAAAGGGTTGTGATTTTAAATCAGCTGGTTCTTAATTAGAGAAATTCCAATAGATGAAAATTCACATTTAATAAAATAGAAATATTTGTAAAGATTATTTACATTATTAATATATATGTTTAATTAACTGCCAACTAAATATTTTCAAGAGAAGCACGAGGAACCTGACTGAAGAGAAACTGTAATCATTTGTACTTAGTACTTTTAATTATTAATATGCTGAAACCTTCAGAAAAATTTTCCTAAGAAACATGAAATCTCAACACTACCAGTTTGCTTAGCGAACCCTTTCTTATTGATGATACCCAGGCAGGATGAACAAAAATTCTGAATCTTTAGTGTTTCGAAGTAACACTAGTTGGTAAGAGATCTAGGACAGCTTTTATAATTAAATGAAGCTTAACAGTTATGCTGAAATGCCAGAGGCAGAGTTGGCCTTTACAAATCTCTGGTCCTTTTCATGTTAGTTAAAAACAGTGACAAGATATATAGAAATCATTTACTAGCCATTTTGGAACCAAAAATTCCAAAAATTGTTCTTTTTATTTCAGGCCCTCCGGGGAAACGAGGTAAAAGGGGCCGAAGAGGAGAATCTGGTAAGTCTCTCTTTCAGCTGTTCTGTGTCATTCATGTTCTGGCTAGGTTCCCACATCTGTTCCTCCTAATTAGTAATTATATTGTTCTGTTGGATGTTGTGTGCATGTGCGCATGCATGTGTGTGTGTGTGTGTGTGTGTGTGTGTGTGTGAGTTTGTAAGATGTTTATATCTTCTCTGTTACACATAGAATTTTTTTTTAATCTTCTTATTTCCATCAAACAGTAGGAAGGAGAAGTTTGCAAAATATTATTAATTACAGTTTACTAACCCCTGGCACCCAATTTTGGCTTATTTACTGTGTCAAGTTAAATCTGCCCTTTCAGTGTACAGCAGAGGATTTCTTAGCCACATGCAGTATGACAGCATCACCCATCTTTCCACCTACATAGGGGGTCAGTCAATGCACACTCTCTGTGGAAACATCTGCCTTGGGACACTGGGGCACATGTCCTGGAAAGCTGATTATTATTTTATCCAACTGGTAAAATTTTTGTCATGCTTTAACTCTCATTCTTTTCACAATTTAAGAATTTTTATTCCTCTTGTATAACCATAGAATTTTAGTGATGACAGGAACCTTAGTAATCAATCCAGAGTTTTCATTTTATAGTTGAGGAAATGGCGACCCAGAGCAGTCAGGTGGTTCAGCCAAGGCCATGCAATTTTTTATGAGCAGAGCTAGAAGCACAACCAGTTGTCCTGACACCCATTTTAGTGATTTTTGTTTTGTTTTGTTTTGTTTTTTGCTTTCAGGCCAAATCCCTATATGCAAATTCAAATAAAAACTATATTTTTCTGAAACCAAGATATTCAAATGAGTGTGTTCACTTACGGTTTTACTAGTTTTGTAAAGTCTAAGACTCCAAAAATGTAAATGTAAATGTGAAGTCTTCACAGGACCTCAATTCTTCCTTGCAAGATAAGAGGAAGGTAATTTAAGGTTTGATTTTGGTGTACTAAGAAATGCTATTTTCCAGCATTTTCTACAAGTATTTATTAATATTAAAAACAATCTACTGAGGGTTAAAAAATAGAAATACTAACCTATCAAAAAGAGCAGATGGCAGATTGATTTTTTTTGTCTCATTTCCTCTCCCTTTTGGAAATATGATGTCAAAGTAAAAAGGGTTTTTAAAAACATAGCTGCTTAATTCCTTTAAGAGAATTATCAAAAGTTATTTTTAAACCTCATTCACCCTAAGTAACTGGAAAATTGTATAGGTATCCCTTTCATTGAGTGCAAAGTTTTATAATAGAGGATGCTTTATAAATGTTTTTGAGGAAAAAGAAATGATAAAACATTGGTGGACCCAAATAATCACTGAATTGATTGCTGTGTTGAAAGAAAGAAAGAGGATTAGTAAAAACGTGAAAAATTTGTACTTATGCAGTTTTACAGAAAATATAAAAATCAACTCCCAACTTCTTGGCTACTGAGAACTGGCGCTTTAATTGAACATGTGGTGTGCGAAATATTGAAATTTTCTTAGACTTTGCCTGTGTTTTGATGAGAATACATAGTTTTAAAGAAACTTACATAAACATCAGGACTTAGTCTTTTATATATTGACAATACTACTGAATGATAAACATTCTTAGAACAAATAGCAGGTACCTTTCTGATTTAGCCATTTTACCAAACTCAAGAAATTTATATATCAATTGTCTACAAGTGGTCTATCATAAATGACTAACGCTCT